ATTTCAGCCTTCTGGATTTTGTTTAAAGCTTTAGTTGTGCAGTGTCTTGAACCAGTAGGGCATTTTGAAGGACTAGTTGCTGCTCCACAGAGCTGTATCTTTATTGAGTATAAAAATGCTGTATTTCATTGTAACAAATATGCAGCTTATTTCAGCTTATGAAGTTCTGAATTGTCTAGCTCTGAACAGAAGAGTTTGTATAAAATGGATGAACAGTAGCTGGCAATGTGCTATTTAGTAATTGCTATTTAGTAATACCTCAAGTGATACCTGCTAACAGCTTTAAACTTCTATGGCCCTATGTGTTAAATTTTGTGATAGGCTTCAGTGCACTTAACAAGCATTTAGAACTTGTTTCTGCTGTTAGAATTTTGGGTTATAATGAACTTGAAATTGATGCTGACTTCACTGATTCTCACTTTCAAAGCTTAGAAAATGCCAATAGAAAATTTGGTAGATGAACTTTGTTGTCCAGAAAATCTTAATAAAATCTTTTAGAAATTAAAAGCCAAAATGTGTTTTACAACAGAATTTGAGGGTATTCCTTAGTGTTTTAAAGATAATGTTTCTTTAATTTCTCATACCATGTTCTGATAGAATTGCAGCTGTTGCAGGGGAGCTAATGCCTCTGTATCCACTGAAGGATGTGTATATGCTGCCCTTCTAAGTAGCTGAGGTTTTACTGGCTGTCCTGTTGTGCTGTAGCTCAATATTAGAAGCTGTCCTGAATCACCTTAGGCAAGTCACTCATGACTGCATTTTGCCAAATAGGAATCATACATAATCTTGGGTATTCTTACCCACATTTTGAGCTACTGTATTAGCTGTCAAGGTGCTTGGATGGTAAGCTAAGGGAATTCACACTGTGACTGAGTTGGTTTTGATAAAATAGCTGATCCACTTTCTAGTTAAAAATGATTTAAGGATTGATTTTTTTTTTTTTTAGTGTTACAGAGAGTGATAAAAATGTAGCTTTTAATATTGTCTTCAGTGAAGCTCTTGTGACTATTTGCATGATTCTTGCATTAAAGTAATTTCTTTTATGAGTATTTTGTGATGTAAATCTTGCTTTCAAAGATTAAATATTGTTCCTTTATTTTAGGCTGTTGCACCTCTAAGGGAGAAAATCAAAGATCTAGAGAAAAGGTAAGTGTCTTTTACTGAGTTTGTGAATTGTTTGAAAAGCAGTTTCTGTTTTTTAGCAGACAGTCTTGTAGCTTTGAGCTTGAGATGTTTGTATGTTTTGTGTATGCCCTCGATACCTTTGGGAACTGGGGCCTTGAATACCAGGAGACATTAATGCATGTCTGAATAATGTTCAGGCTGAATAGTCCCATCGAAGGAATTGGGAGTGCTTGATTTTTGTGATGTTCGGGTGCTGTGAAGGAATTAGTTTGTCCTGTTGGTGCACAGGTTACCACGGTTTGGAAAGTCAAATGTAGGTGTGTACTAAAATTTATTTGTTTCAGCCACCAGAGACTGAAAAGAAATGTTTTACTTTGTATTCCCCATGCTTGTGATCAGTTACTGTGGTTAGCTCATGTAGAATGATTACATTGTGAATCTTAAGTCTATACCCGTGCTCTGGATGAGTACAAGCAACAGACTTGTTTTCTCAGGGTTAGAAAGAGAAGGTGATACTCTTGAAAAGTACATGATATGATTGAGAAAAGCAGACAAGCTTTTGAGTGACTAGCAAATCCTAGGTTAAATGCGAGTGTTAAATTTGAAGAGGTTCTGTACCTCTGAGGTAGTGTTTTTTTGGTTTTTTTTGTTTGTTTTTCTTAAGGTGGGCTGGGAGGGGAGGCTGACCCATTTCTTCCTGGCAGCTTGTGTCCATTCTGCAATGTCCTTTTCTCATGTTTGTGCCAGCACACCCATTTGTGGAGCTGATAGTATATAGGATGAAGAAACTAAAGCATTCCAGTCTTTTTTTTTTTTTTTTTTCCCTCCAAGCAGCTCCTTCCGACCTCAGCCTGGCTGCCTTGAAGCCATGCTTTTCATCACAAAGAAAGTGCTGGAATAGGAGTACGAATTGGCAATTGTGACAAGGACATGACTACTTTTGCCAGTGATGCTGTTTCATAAATGATGCTCTTGATGTGCCAGGCACACAGCTAGTAGGGAATGCTGTTTTACAAAGGGCTGAAACTTGGCTCATTCTAGCAGTGCCAGTAAGCCTGTGTGGTTACATATGGCATGTTGTTGGCTAATGTGCTGTTACTCTTGAGGGGGCAGAATCACACTCCCGTCAGCCAGCTCAACCCACACAGTGGTTTGAGTTTGTTTGGCCAGTCTGTTAGGGAGCAGTTGCCCTTCCACCAACCAACCCCACACTCTTTAAGTTTTGATTTTCCTAAAATTAACTTGAAAAATTCACAGATCTGTCACGTGCAGTTTGTTTTAGGAAGAATATTGATATATTTGCTCATCTCTCCATGCAAGCATGGACTTGGCAGTTTATTGGCAACATAAAACAAATTACAGACTGAATCACTTATATTGGTTGCATATCAATTATAATGGAGAAACTGTGGAGTAATGACTTTGTGTTCAAATGAAATTGTTGATGCCTTCTCTCTGTTCAGTTAATTTGCTTAATCTTTACTGATAGCCATGTAGTTCAGGTACTACTTTTGCCACTCAGAGTTATTTTATTTTTTTCAAATGAGCGTTAGATTGTTGGTTTGGAGCTGTTACATTAAACTCTTCTTAGGGGGCACCTGAAAGCTCTTTCTATTTTTAGTAGTGTGCCATGTATCGAGTTGTTGGAAATGTCTGTAGCAAGCCCTTAATAGTGAGGGGAAAGAAATAACATATATTTTACTTCTGTATGAGCTGATATGGAATGATCATTTATCAAAAGAGAAACATTGCTTATGTTGTTGGGGTGTTCTTTTGAAGAATGTAGCCCTTTACCTCTGCTGCTCTTCTGATCATGTCTGACATGTTTCCAGGTACTGAATTTTGAATTTTATGTCTGTGTAAAATGACAGTAAAAAACTATCCTCTATTAGATGCCTGAAGGCTGTTCCTGATAGTAAAATGTTTCTTTTCTAATAGCAATGGGTTTTTTGGGGTTTTTTTTTGTTTGTTTGTTTGTTTTTAACCTCATAATCAGATAAAATCTGGAAGGAAGCCATGCCCATGCTTATGGAAAGCAGGAAAGACAAGAATTCCTTTAGCTAGTTTCCTAACAAAAGGTTATTTAACTGAAGCTAAAGTTGGAAGTTGGATCAAAGCAAGTATTAGGCCAGGATTAAGTCACATCCTTGCACGCAGCTAAGCATTCAGCTGGATCAGTTTGAGGTTCCTGCCCACTGCAGCTAAGCCAGCCCTGGGGTGAGGAAGGTGCCGGAGTGGTTGGGAGTCCTTTTGGCAGCTGTTGGACTTCATAGAATCACAGAATCCTTAAGGTGGGACAGGACCTCTAGGGATCATCTAGTCCAACCCCCTGCACACTCAGGGTCACCCAGAGCACGTGGCACGGGGCTGCGTCCAAGCGGCCCTTGGAGATCATGCTGGATTAATGGCCTTAAAAATGGAGGACCCTTACCCTTCATAAACTCCTTACTTCAGTCTTCCTTTTGGGGAATGTCGGAAGACTCTTCTGCTGTATTTCTCCTCTGCAGGAAGCTGGGAATGGCCCTCACTGAAGAGTAAAGGTGCCGCAAGTGCAGAAACATCTGTGCTCTGCTTGTGAAAAATTCCTCTTGAGCCAGTGATGCAGGTTAGAAGCAGAGGAGACCAGGTACATCAGGATCACATGGAAAAAATTCCACACAGAAAAAGTTCTGAAACATTTGCCCAGGCTGCCCAGGGAAGTGGTGGAGTCCCCGTCCCTAGCAGCGTTCAGGAAAGCGTAGGGACATGCTTCAGCAGGCAGGGTGGTGAAGGGCTTTTGGTTGGACTTGATGATCTCGAAGGTCTTTTCCAAACATAGTGATTCTGTAATTCAGTCCTGGTCTGTTTGTGAGTAGATTAATAAGTAGTCTCGGTGTGAATTCTTGGCTTACAGGCTTCCAATTGCTGCAGCTAGTTGTATGTCTAGCCGTGTGGTAGTCCAGTAGTTAGTACTGGAGGACAAGAGTAACCATAGCTAGAGTTCCTTCCAATGTCTTATCAATGTTTAGTTAAGGATTACCTCAGACATTGATAGATTGTCAAGACTGAAAGGCTTATTACCTTAGAAAAAATGTGCCATCATCCCTTTCTTTGGAGATGGTTGTTGCCAATACAGTAGGCATGCAAGTGGGATGAAGACAGTGACAGGACTGCATGTGCATAAAAGTACTTAAGCTCCTGAGCATTAATTTTAAGCCTAAGAGAGCACCTAAGTTTCCTCTTGTCACATAATTTTAGGGTATTTTGTTCCCAGTTAAACTCCCTTAAAGAAGAAGGTGGAAAACAATTAAGTGAAACTAGCTCATAGACTATCAAAACAATAGCAGTTTATCCACTTCTGGGAAGCAGGTTAAGAAAAGCTCTGATAGTGAATAATCTCTCTGGTAAGAAGGCTGAGAAATATTAATGACAATTTTTTTAAACTCTTGTTTTTAAAATTTACTTTGATGAAACTTCAAGGAGGTTTGTTTGAAATTAGTGGTATAAGTTAACCTAGTTTGTTTGCTTTTCCAGAGGTTTTTAAGAAGATTGTTTGCTCTTTAAAACTTTTTGATTATGTTTTATTGTCTTGGGATGCCATACCAAACCCCATTACTTCTGCTCTCAAAAGACAGAAGCCTAGTGATTTTTTTCTACAGGAAAGTTTGCTAGGCATTTTTTTAAAAAACATTTTTTTATTACTGGATAGGTGCCTTGATGAAGGCCCAGATCCTTTAGAAAAAGGAAGTAAACATATCCTTAAAAAACCATTCAGAATCAGAGATTCTGAAAATCATTTTTGACATTTCAAAAACAGATAAAGAAAAAACATCCTTAAGAAGAAGGAGAGCTGAAGGTTAACACATTTTTCTTCTTTGTTTTGGAATATTCTGTAGTTTCACCCAGAAATATCCACCAGTGAAATTTTTATCAGAAAAGGATCGCAAAAGAATACTGGTAAGTTGGTATTTAATCAGGTCTTGTGCTTGGGAAATAAAAGAACTGTGTGGAATATAATTGGGGATAGAGGATTAATTAAAGACATGAACAAGAACAAAGTAATTTATCGTGGATCTTGTATGGGGCTGCCCTGCCTCGGAAGAAGTGTTCTTTTTTTACTCTGTGCTGATGTGCTGAAAATCCAGCATGTAGATAATAGACTTGGGCTCTGGATCGGAGGTGCTGATTAAGTTACTGTTGTCTGCTTGCAATATTTTTAAACTGTGTTGCCAAAGGTCTTTGTGCTTCCAGCTGGCTTCGGCTTGTTGAGGCGGGGAAGTTTTTTAGGTACATCTTGAAAGTGCAGAGAGCTGGTATGATTGATGGGGACAAAATCTAATTATGAGGCTGGAGAAGTAGCTGCCCTGCAGCGCTGTTAAGATGGGACTGTGAGTCAGTGGGGGAGTGCTCCTGCGTTGGCATCTTCTGTGGTGCTGCTGTCACATTGCCAAGCACCAGGGGCATTTTAGGGTGAAAAAAGAGGGCACGTTAGCTCGGGAGGAGGACTGGTTCAAGACATTCTTAGGCTGAGCAGTGTTGCTGTATCAACCTTTGAGTTGTATCTACAAACACTTTTCAAGTTAGCTGAGTGTTCAGATTCCTCTTGTTCTGTCTTAGAGACAATGTTGTCTGCAGGTTTTCAAGAGACAGAGGAAAGTGAAGTTGCTTAAGCTGTGTATTCATGTATTTTAAATTTCTACTTATTCAGTAGAGAGCAAAGTCTAGGACAAATCCCCACTAATATACCTATAGCTCTAACTTGTCTGGTGTTCTCTTTTGGCAGGACTCTTCAAAATCTAGAAGAAAAACACTGAAAAATTGCAAATAGCGTATGATTTCCCTTTTGTATTTTAACAGGATGAGGATTGCAAATAAAGCAAATTTGTCTTCATTGTTATGTAAAAATTTGCAAAAATAAGTGTTATCATATTTTACTTGTTTAACTTTGCAGTGTTATTTTGTCTTTTTTATGACAGTCTGAAGGAGATAAGCTTGTAGACTGTTTCTTCTGTTGTGGAAATTGGAAGGTGTGATGAGGTAAAAAGCATAGATGGGCTTAACTGAAAATTCCTAAATAGTGAGCTCATTGTACAGGCAAGGGCAATAATGTTGCCTTAGTGCCATGATTTCTGTCTATAAAGTGGAAAGCATTGACAAGAAAAATACCAGTGCAAGGTGTTCTTGGGTTGTAGAGTTCTCAGTGCTAAAACCCTTGACATTAAGATTTTTGGATATTTTGTTTGTTGTAGCTAGGAGTTCATTGCTTTACTGTGGTTGCAAGTAGTTGGAATAAGGATGTTTCCTGCTGTCCTGAGCATGAACAACTTCATAGTTCCATACCTCAGAGAGAGTAAACTACCAAAGCGAAAGTTGGCCAAAGGATAAGTGAGTTGTATTGTTATTTCTTATCTGTCATGGATTGTGACCAATTCGTGTGAATTCAGACTGAGCTTCACAAGCTTCCTACTCAAGTGGGCAGTTGCAGCTGCTGTATCATCACAGTCATCGTTATGTGGGAAAAGTGTCCTTTTGAGTAGTGGAAGACAGCAGCTGGAGGGCTTGGAAGTATGTCCCGAACAAACATAGGAATCAGCTAAGCAAGTCAACTTTTTCAGATGATTTCCTTGTTGTTGTTTAGTTTTGTGAGTTTTTGTTTGTTTTTTTGTTTGTTTGTTTTGCTGATGGTATATATTTTCCTGGATTCTGTTCTTTGTTCTGCTTTTCACTAAATGCAGGGTTTTTTTTTTTTTTTTTTTAAACAACCTGGAGTTATTCACAACACTGACCTGAGCAGACAGCAGTTCTATTTCCTTTGCTTATAGCTCCTCTATTGGCAGATGTTTACCAGGAGAGGAGATATCTCAGCTAAGAGCAGATTCCCTGGCACTCTCATCCAAAAGAGCTCAAGTCTATTGAATCCCATGCCGCAGAGCGCAATAGCTCGCTTTTCTGAAGTGTCCTTTCTTATGCAAGCTGTTCTGTGAATGTAATGAATAATGGTTGTGACATAGGATCAGTCTGTTTTGTTTTTTCTCAGACTTGAATACAGCAAACCAATGAAAGCATGAAATGAAAAAGTTAATGGGACACTGTGGGACACTAGATGTCTCCAGTCTGACTACAGATACAGAAATGAACAAGTCTGACAAATTAAATGCCCTGGGTAGAGGAAATTTAGAAATGTTCATGGCTTTCAGTAGTTCCTGAAGTTATCAAGCACTTTGACTCTATTACGTAATTAAATGTTTTGTATTAATGAGGTCCTTTAAAAGAATATGCGTTTAAGCTCCAGGTGCAATTCTTCAACTCTGATGTGGAAATGACTTGTGTACAGTATCTGATTTTGCTTTGCAGAAAGTTGTATTTAGAAATAGTGTGTTAACCTTGTCTTTGTGTGTGGTTACGGGAAGGTTATACAGAAAGCTTCAGTGATAATCATCTCCTTTTTTAATGAAGCCATGAGTAATGATTAAAAAAATAATTTACACAGTTGTTTACTTTTCCAGGGGAAATTCATCTCCTTTTCCAAATAGCTCTTTGTCTAGTACCCATGGAATTAATATATTAATAAAGCTAACATATTTGGCTTTTATGATTAAAAATATTTATTGATAAAGCAATTGGAATCTTTTTCTCAAACATTTTTTTGTTTTCTCTTTTTCCTTTTGCTTAAGTATAACATAGGCAGGTGCTTCTAGTACTGCTTGGTTTGTATTTCATTTTTTGTTTGCTTTTCAAAAAAAGGGAAGATTGGTGATCAAGACTTCATGTTTTACTACACCAAAGACCCATTGGGAATGTGCTGTTTGTCTTCTCTGGGATCCTGGAAATAGAAATAAAAGCAGGGAATTTTATTGGCCCTCTGGTGAAGGAATAAACTGTAGCCACCTCCTGGTAACTTCTGCCTGGTTTACCATAAAAACACCTTTGGGTTAAGAAAGCTGCAGCTCCCTTTCGAGCTGGGATAAACCTCTGGCAATAACTTTTCCGTGCAGATTATTTTTGCCTTTGTAAGTGGTCACACCTGGCAATGGCACTGTCCTCCCTCAGTTAGCGCCTGCTCCTTGCCTGTTCTCAGCAGCTCTCCTCCCCTCCTGCCAGCTGCAGGGCAGCAGGAGCCCTGAGACTGTCGCTTCCTTTTAAAGAGAGCTTCTCCTGAACAGTCTTCTCTTCAGGTTTGTCAAGGAACCCAATCTGGGCAGGTTACACTTTGACTAGTCCAAAGTGAGAGGATTTTAGCCATTTGTACCATTCCACACACAGCATTTTGTCGTCGTAGCAGATGATTCATTTGTTAGATTCCTTTTTTCAAATTCACCAAGTCTGTTTGTTGTTTGGCTATTTCTGACCGAAGGTGAAGAGCAGACATAATAGCTGAATCACATTTTCAAAATGTGAATTTGTTCATGCAGTCATGTAATAGCTGATGCCGCACTGGGATTTCCAAGTTCATTAATTCTTTGAGAGTAGTTATCCATTACTTCTTTGTGTGTGTTTGAAAAGAGCTTATGAAGGGCAGAGATGTGTCTGTTGGGATGTGTCTCACAGCCTGCAGTTCCGCTGCTGTGTTGACTGTTCAATACTGCGTTCAGTGGTATTTCTTTTTAACTCTTAAAACTGAGCTGCTAAAAGGGGAAAAAATAAACAACTCTCCTTCCCTTCTCTTACATGTACTATTTAAATTTAAATACTTAAATTCCACTTGTTTCTTTATAGTAAAACATGAAGTTTTAAAAGGGGCAAATGTTGGGTGTTGGAGCTAATGGCGTCAGAGGCTGAAATTTAGGGTGTGGGGTTATCAATCTAGTAAAACAGAAGAGACGGTTTTGGTTTTAGCAAATATTTTTTAAAAGGGAGATCTTCAAAGACTCGTTTTTGTTTAAGAATGCTCTTCCTTCTCTGAAGGATGAAAGAAATCATAGTACTTGCTTAGGCAAGTAAGGATGTTTTCCGTTAAAACTATGTCTGGATTTGATATTCTTGATATTATAGAGCTTATGCAAAAATAACCTGGCATTTTGTTGCCATCTTTCTGAGAAATAGGAATGGAAGAAAATCCTTTTGGGGTCTTTTTCTGCTTTGCTGTGACATAAACAGGCACAATCCAATTTGAAGGAAAAAGGAAAATAATTTATTTTTTCAACGATCTTGATGTGAATAAATTAGCTAAAGTTCTGGACTGACAGTGATGAAACATGCCAAGCATCTCTCTTGAAATGCCCAATTCCCTAAATATTGGGGAGGATCTTTAAACATGGAAATGGAGTTGTTTCCCCTGGGAAAGCAAAGATCTGAAAGCTACTGTTCTTCTGTCTTCATGTTTGTGGACTTTGTCTGGTGTTTCTTTAAAAAGAAAAAAAAAATTCATACCAACTGTCCTAACGCAGATAACTGGAGGAGCAGGGTTTGTGGGTTCTCATCTTACTGACAAACTAATGATGGATGGCCATGAGGTTACAGTTGTGGACAACTTCTTTACGGGCAGGAAAAGAAATGTGGAGCACTGGATTGGTCATGAGAACTTCGAACTGATAAATCATGATGTCGTTGAGCCCCTGTACATTGAAGGTGAGTAGCCTGTGCTTTGGAATCTGCACTTTGTCATGCTTTACCTTCGCAGCATGTTTGCAAAGAACTCCAATATAGGCACAGACATGTGGATTCTTCCATCCTGTAGGTTTTGTTTATTATTAGCCCGATTTCGTGATCATCACAGGGTGAGAGGTTGAGGGCTGTTGACTTTGAAACGGTAACTTCTCTGTGGCAGGGTGGGTAGGAGAAAGGAAATTTTACAAACTTTGTAATGTGGTAGAGATTTTGTGGGAACACAGAGGCGATGGTAGGTTATCTGTGTGTCTCCATCTGATGTCGCACATCCTGGCGTGCATCCTCCCTCACTCTGCCGCCTAGATGTAGGAATCACCGAGACTCATACCACCTAGGTGGTCATGAATCTAAATTCACAAGCGCTTTTGCACTAGCCTGCGTCCGACCTGCAGCTCTGTATGGTCAGTTGAGAGGAAGATCATCTGTCTGAGAGGGCAGTTCAGCTCACTTCTTAGCTGACTTATTTTTTCTCTATGGAAAACAATGCTCCTATTTTAGTTACAGGCTTTCTACAACGTCCTATAGAAGAAAAAGGCAGCAGTACTGAATTGTCCCCGTTTTCAGAAAGAAAAAGTTAAACCATCCTGATTGGAAAAAGTTAGAAATAACTCAGTCTAACCTGTCATAAACCTCAGAATATTATGCTGAATTGCAAGACAGCATTAGTTAAAATATATTTATACTGGATACATACATAGGTACAGACTTATGAAATAAATCGTCAGGTAGTGCATCAATGAAAATGTTATTCCAGTCACACTGGCATAGTGGTTTTGGCTTATTCCCTTAAAGCTTTGTAGAAATGTAGTTATTTCATTTTTAAGAGAACAATAAATCTCAGGCAGTATTTATTTTAATTCTTGCAGTATTCTGTTGGATTGAATTTGACAGGAAAAAGATCTCTAGCAATTTTATTTCTTGTGGCTTATCTTGACAGTACCACTGAAACAGTTCTGCAGGTGTGTGCTCTCCCCTGTTCTTACAATGTATTGGTTCAGTTGCTGTCTCTTACTTTACTGCTGCCGCTTCTGCTGGTGGTGTAATGGGATTTGAGAATTGGCGCTCTGTTCACCGCAGATGCGGTAGCCTATAGCTCGGCCAGTTCTGTCAGCGTTCCTAATCTTCTCCCTGCACTACTTTCTTTCTAGCTGTCTGTACGTGGGGCCTCTTCAGAGAATTTCCAGTTCAGCCGTTGTTGCTGTCCAGTACTGGGCGGTAGCGAGTGGCAGCTCCAAGATGCTTACATGAACTCTCCTGTGCCCTCTGGACTTAAGACACCAATTCCCATTTCATGCTGATCCTAAATTACACTATGAGCTTCAGTGAGCAGTTCACTGAACTTCTCGTTCTTCGACAGTGTAAATTAAAGATGGCATAGTTAAATGCTAAAACAAAATTAAATTTGATATTCCGATGTGGAACTGTGATTAAAAATTTGTTTGGGTTTTAAAAACAGTGGTGAGTTTATAGTCCTACATAGGAAAGAGGATAGGAAGATAGACTTGAAGGGAGAAAAAAAGAAAAAAAGATGAAACAATAAAGATAGTTACTTTAACAGATGCACAAACTAGTTTTGTTGTTGTGTTCTTTTGTTTTCCCTTTTGGCATATGGCTCATTTCATCTCAGTCACTGTTAGAACTGACTTCTGCTATCTTTTACTCGTAAGTAGGACTTGGAATAAACTGGGGTTATGACAAAAGCAGCTTTGAGGAAACAGGTTTTATCTGAAGAATTCCTAGTTTTTGGAGTAGTTTTTGAACTAGCTTATATCAGAATGTTTAACACACTTCAAAGAAAAATCAATGGTTTATTTAGTAAGAAATGTCATTTCTAATCTAGACAGAAGTGTGTATGCACAGTCTGCTGTGTTTAAATCTCTGATTCATGGTATGAAGAGGCAAACTGCATTTTTGGGTCTAGATCTCACTGGCCAGAAACAGTGGGAAATCACCTAAACACACATGTTATGGTTCTTGATCCTATGATAATTATGTGGTGCTGAGTGACTTCCTCTTTCTCCAGTAGGAATTTCCTCTAGCTTAGCGTTGCGGGAAGATGCTGTCAGTAGAAAACTCACAAGAACACATAGCTTTCACTGAGGCTTTTCTCAAGAAGAAAAACAAGGTCTCCGATGTCTTTATTCAAATGAAAGTAGCTTTTAGGAGTATTGGAAGGCAGCAACTAGTCAAAAAGTACACAAGTGCCACTCACAAAACAAACAGGTATATATGCGTGCACTGCTGTCACTGTGATCACTCTGTGGGGATAGATTTGCATTAAAAACCACCAAATGAAATTTTACATTAAATGTATGTAGAAACGAAAAAAGTACTTAATTAGTTTGTATAGTCACCGAGGATTAGGGCTGTCGCTGCTTATATCCAGATTTGTTAGTTAGGACCCTATGAGAGGGTTGACCCTCTGCCTGTGGGGACCTGTCCCATTCTCTTCCATTTTGTTCCATTTAATATGATTAGCAATTTCACTCAGGAGCCAGGTAGGGACTTCCACGCTAAAATGCCTTTTTACTGGCATACTAAACTAATGGAAAAAAAAAACGAGGAAAAAAAGGCAAATTTCAAGGTGAAGCCATAAGATGGCAGTCATACCACAAAGCGGGCCCTTAAAAGCAATTACTGCAGTCTTGGGCTGCAGGGCTGCTTCTCAGCTCCTATTAGATCCTTGTACCTTCCTGTCCACAAGAGCTGCAGCAGCAGAATAACTGCCAGAACCTTGTGACAAGTGGGTGCAGTCCTTGTCCTGCCACTCCTGCCTTTTCTTCTCACTGCTTGGGCAACCTTTGGAAGCCTTGCAGGCAATGTTTCTTGAACAAATTTGAGGGAAGTTTTCTCATCAGCTGGAAAGTGAGCTAGACGTAGAGCAGGGCAGATGTGATTCTGAATATACACAACTTTTTGTCATAAATGTTGTGACCACAAAGAAACTATTGAAATAGATGTTGTGAAATACTTGGACCTTGCAGTGCTTTTAGAGTGATAAACTTTTGTCAAAGCTTTCGACAAAAGTTTTGTCAAAGAAAGAACTTTGTTATCATGAGCACTGCATTACATTTTTTGAGAGTGAATAGTTACAATAGTAGTAGAGTAATTTAAATGAATTATCGGTCCCTTAACATTTGGGAAACATTTTCCTCCTGTTTGGAATCAAGGAAAATGCAAAAATAAGCTGCTGCAGTCCTGTTGGTCTTGTAGAGCTGTATGTTACAGACACTTAATGTGTCATCGAGCTTAATGTGTCATGTGTACATCGAGCAAATGATAAAACTCAGAAAGACTTTTTCCTTGAAATGATGTTCAGGATAGTCATCAAGTATTACATTTTTAGCTGGAAATTTCATTTAAAGAATTCTTTTTCCTTCCTCAGGTATATCATACTAGCCGCTTTATTTTTGAGCCATAGGAGCACAACTACAGAGTAGAAATTTAGTTGATGTTCTCCAACACTTTGCTTAACAATGGAGCTTTCAGGCAAATACCACTATGACACTGCTGAAATTGCGGTCTATGTCAGCTGAATGCAAATTGAGCTGTTTCTTTTTGCTGAGGATAATGAGCAATTCCATTCTGACATTCAAAGATAGCTCTTTGAAACACGTGTGAATTACATAATGTGAATAAAGTGAGAAGAACACTTTGTATGTGGTAGATTAGGAGGAGCTACTTTATTACTTGATTTCTGCAATGAGTTATAAGAATCGATATGAAGATCAGTTACATAAAGCTGGCCTCTTCTGTTCTTTATTTCTTGATTTTTTTAGGAGTCCAGTTCTGGCAAGGCGGCTCTTTAAGTTCTATTTTCAGTAGCTGTTGTGAATACAAAGTTGGTTTGGGCTCTATCTTGGTCTCTTGCAACTTTTAGTGAAGAGGTTCCCAGATGATGGGCTGCGAGTACATTTTGCAGGCTGAGGAGTGTTGAAGATGAGCACGTGGCATACCTCATAGTAAGGAGATTGGCATTTAGAGTTTTCAGAATGGATGAAGTTGTTGTTTTAAACATGTTTGTGCTTATTAATAACATTATTTACAAAACTGCAATATGTCATTGGCTTGGCTGGGGCTAACAGGCTCTAATTTTTAAGGGCTCTGCTGGTTTTGTGGATCTGAGTTGACTCTTTTCAGCTTTTAACTTCTTATGTAGGTGCCCTCAGTATGTTGCATTTTGGGCAACTGTGCTAGTAGAATTTTGAGACCTTAATCTGCATTTGACTGATCTGGAATTTCATAAGCTATTTTTATAAAAAAAAAAAGATCATTGCTGCTTTTGAGTACCTTCATTAATAATCTTCATCCTCCTAGTCTTCATTCTCTATGTCAAATATTTACTTCATTCAACTTGATGCCTTTTAATTTGTGCATCTGGGGTACAGTCATGGCAAGGGAGAAGGCAGCATGAACTGTGCCACATGAGGCTTTTTATCCAGAGCCAGGTGCCGCCATGCCCAGGTCTGTGGTGAAGCTTTCTAAATCCCCTAGAAAAAATCTGTATGACAAACCTTAAGAAAGCTTCAATACACTTTAAATTATAGTAGAGTATATGGAACAGATCATGGAATGATCTGGGGATTTCACAGAGCAATATTTAGTAATATATTACTGTTTTTGACCTCTGGCAGGCTGCCCTTCCCCAGGAAGGGGCTGGGGTTTTTGGGGGGGGCGGGGGAGGAGGAGGGAGCTGAGGAGAGAGGTGGCATTTTGGGAGGCAATGGAATAGGTGATTCCAGGAAGAGTAGTTTTATTGCAACATGCTTGAAATGTGAGTGGTTCTGTCACACCTTTTGGTTTACTGAAAATTCATGACAGCAGGATTTAGTATTACATATTCTGTATCTACTAACCTATAGTTTTTCTGAAGCTTTTCTCACATTAAAAAAATAGAAATTCATTTTGGCAATTGAACTCTGAAGAATATGCCGTATTACTGTAATGTTATTGATGCAGATTATAGATCTGTGTGGAGATTGTATTGCAAGCAACAGGTAACAAAGGTTAGAGATTTTGTTGCATTTCATCGGGTGATATTGGCATTTTCACAACGTAAATGGTGGCTTAGATACTAATGCCAGCTTTTATCTCTACTTTTTGGAATTGATTTATTTTATTGCTTTTTTTCAGCATAAGTTGTAACTTGCAAAATTTGCAGTTTTTTAAAATGAGTGGCAACTTGATTATGTTTTCCCACAGTAGGTGTTACACAAATTGTCCATTCTAATCTGTTAAAAAAAATCAACACAAATGCAGACATACAAAAATTGGAGCTGCATCTCAGTTTTACTAAAGATTTTGGTTAGAGTAGGCGCCATTTCTGTGCATGAGATTCAGTTTATGCTTTGTTGTGGTTCAGCTGATGCACCTGTAACTAAGACATTTCCATTTGCAGTGTCTGGGTCTGCTTGAAAACAGTCTTGGCATGTTTAAAGCTTGCCTTCAGGTTTTTAGTGCCCAGAAGTAACTTCTTGGTACCAAACTAACTAGAACATAGTAAACATTTTCTCAAATTTAAAACTTTCCTGGATAATATCTTTATTTTATAGCCCAACCTGACTTCTGCTCTTTGATAAGCCTCTTGTAGTGTCCACAGTGGTTTAGATTTCTAGCTCCTAATATGAGTCAATAGTGAAAATCTATGAGCTTGTGCTTTTGTACTCCTGTGGTCCCTATTTATATACTTAAGGCTTTGCACATCCCTGTACACAGTCAATTTTCAGTTGTGCTATGGCTTAATTGCAAAGCCAACTCAAGGCTCATTAGCAGGCCCAATTAAATATTGTGAAATCTTCTTAATGAGAGAGAAGCGGAGAGCAGCTGCAGGCTGTGTTTGTACCTATGGTCCTGTAGATGCTCCTCCCAGACACCCCAGCATGTTAATCCTCTGCGGAGCAGTAGCCTGACTAACTCCCCACAGAGTAGAGTTGGAGTTGCCCGCTGGCTTAAACAGCGTCCTGCTTTGTGCCAAAGCAGAGGAGGCAGTCCTTTTTTTGTCTGGAACATCCATTTGTGTGATGAAGCTCAGAGGGAAAAGTACACAGTTTGCTTGACTCTTTACTTGACAGTGCATTTTTTAAACCTGACAGTTGAAAGTGGAACTAGAAATGATTGTGCATGTCTTGAGATCCTGAGCTTGATAACACTATTGAGTGACCCCTCTGGGTAGAAAACTTGCCCTCCCACCTTCCTGAAAGGCCTGGCACTCTTTAATTGTTGTGGAAACCAAGCAGTGTTTTGAGCTGGTCTCAAGCTAGATACTCTAACAATTCCTGTCTGGATAAGGGAGAAAGGTCAGAGCTGGCTGACCCCCTGCAGGTTTAATCCAAAAGATGGCCCCGTGCCCTCAGCAAATGCCCCATCTTCCTCCTATCTGCCATGTCTGCCTTCACTGAACCTTTTTCATAGGGAAGAGGTCTGTGTTTGCTGTTGCGGGTAGGGGCAGAGGAAGCCTGTTGAGGCAAGTGTAGAGATGTCCATGCTGTGGCCAAATAAAGCCCCCTGCTTTTGGTTTTCCCCCCAGCTTCTGTGCTCCAAAGCAATTGAGAGCTGGGAAATAAAGGGAATAAGAAGGACTAGAGGAGGAAGGAGCTGCTTCCGCTTTTGTGTGGTGTGTTAACACTCAACCTCTGCGTTTGAAAATTAAATGGATCTTCAGAGGTTTTTCTGGGAGGTTGCACTTGTTTCTGTTTTGTAATTGTATGTCTGTATGGATAATTACAGGCTCAACTGTAACGTCAAGAGATAGGATAGGTAGCTTCAGGCCTGCTCTTCATTATAGGAGTGGCTTCTCTAGAAGCCGCCGTGTCAGAACAGCACAGCAGGCCTTGAGCAAGGGGTGAGGGGAAGCAGGGAATGGGCTGCTTCCTCTGCAGCAGAGTTGCTTGGGGCAGTAAGTTACTTGACGGACATAAATGCTTTTGAAGTGACACTTTCTTGCTGCAAAAACTCCTCCAAAGCCTATGGGAAAGTGTGGTTGAAAGAGGTGACAGCACCTATAAAGGGACGGCCAGAGACCATGGTCAGAGTTTACCAGTGTCCAAGCAGTGTTTTGAGCTGGTCTCAAGCTAGATACTCTAACAATTCCTGTCTGGATAAGGGAGAAAGGCAGCAGTAAATGCGCTCCCCAAGCACTGCCCTCATCAGCTTGCCATCTACTTACTTTGTTTGGTATCGTGACAGCAATGCGCTGTGGTGAAGAAACGCTTTCATGCAGAGGCATACTGTGAAACTTTAATACATTTCATTTATGTTATGCTTATGTAGCAGACAGTGCTAATGCAACAGAGTGTTTTAGGAGTATGGGTAGTACTTTGAATCAGGACTGAACTGGGAGCTCATTTCCTGCAGCATTTGCAGTCTCAGATCATCTCTGGATATTGCGCTAATTAGCCAAGTTAATATGGGTTGCACACTGAAAAGTTCTCTGTGATATTAGAGTGGATTTGGTACTGAGTGGAAATGCTTGGTTTATGCTGGGGTGATGGCGAATAGCTGAGTAGTCTGCTCCATGAAATTGCATTTCTGTGTGTTTCTTATGTGAAAGCAAGTTCCCCCTGGTAGTTGTCTGGGTTGATTTGAAGTTTCTGCTATAGAGATTAAACACTGAAGACCAAAGAAATCATGGCAAGGTGTCAGATCTGGATTTATTTTGTGGCACCTATTTGAGAATACAAATGTCATTACTCTGCCAAGACAGTAAGACTTAAGTGTGATGGAGTCATACAGATCATATTAAACGTGACTGTGTGTTTATACTGACAGGTAATTGTTTTGCCTGGTGAAATTTGTCTTGAAATATTTTATCATGAAAACATTTATTATTTTGCGGGCTTTATTGTATTGTGTTAGGGCATTTTTTCCTTTGGGGTGAAGATTAAGTGCTCTGTTTAACTTCAGTGTGTCTGTTAGAGTTGAACCATTTCAGGCACATAAGCTGTGAGCATACCCACTGGATTTAAAAATACCATTTAATCCAGAAAATTGTGAATATGTGTGCAAACCCCTCAGAGAAGTGGAGGGAAGGTAAATACTACACCTTGCCAACTTTGCCATTTTTGTTGTTGTTACAGAACATATTTATCATAAATAGGGTATGATTTTTTTAATAAGTAAGATATGCTTGTGTTTTGGAAGCTTTTATCTACTGTAAAGTTTTTGGTTGCTTAAAGGGTTGTTGTATGGTAGTAAATGCATCCTACATGGATAAAACAAGCCGCTTTTGTACACTGTTATACTAATAGAAGTAATAGATATTAGAGGTAAGGATATGTGCTTGCCTTGTCGAATGAAACTAGGAAATAAAGAACAGAGGGAATCTTTAACAAAACAAAAAAAACAACTGTAACTTTGAAGTGTTTTTTCAGCTAGTTGAGAGCAGGTTGTAACTTAATACTTGATTATTTTTCCTATTAGTGGTATCTTATATGTAATCTGTACTGTTTAAGCAAATGTAATTAAATTTAAATGAAGGGAAAGGCAAATTTCGGAAAGTTTCAGTCTTTTTATTTGAAAGTTGAGGATGCTTCTGTCTTATTTCTGGCTGAATGCCTAATGTAAAAATGGTGAACAAAATTCATTATTTCACAGATACTGTGAAAGTTAAACCCAGTAGAGGGCTGCTGATAATTTGTTGTCCAGGAACAGGATTATATTTTGTATTCATGTTATTTTCTATTACTTGTTACATATAAAATAACTGGGAAGATACTTAAAAATATTTTTTGAGTGTATCACCAAACCAATATCATTCTGTTCTAGGCTAAGACAATGTTGTCCCTTGTCTTCTGCAACATTGTCTCCTAGCAGCCACCTTTGGCTTTTTCAAGGTCCTTAGGATTTGAGTGCCAGCTCTCCTTTAAAAAGCAAACTTTCTTTTGCAGCACAAAGGAGGAATGATTTTCCCCTTTTTTCCATCCTTTCACCTTGATTCTAATTCTTCATAATATTTTGATTACATCTTTTGAATGACCACTTGAGAAAAAATACTCTGAAGCTGGTTGTCATTTAAGAAATGTGAGGGGAATAAAACATTGCATGTCCTCTTGCAACTTCTAGCATTGGCTCTGAAGTATCTATAAGCAAATTTTTTACAAGTGTAAAAATCTAAGCACTCCAAATCTCTGTGTCTGTCTCAACAATATTGTTATTTATTAAACGTTAGCTTTGGTTCTACTGAGAATTAAGACTTGCTGTAGGTTACAGTAGATTTGCATACATGTCATCTGCAGGTAGGAGTACAGAAGTGCTAAGTTTTGGTGTTAGGCAAAAACAAATGCTTGTTTCTTGACTCCCTAGGGCTTTCTCATTTAATGTATTGCACAGGAAAATAATGGTGCTTTTTTCTTTTTTTTTCCCTCCCATCCTGCTCTGTAGTGGACCAAATCTATCATCTAGCATCTCCTGCTTCTCCTCCAAATTACATGTATAATCCTATAAAAACATTAAAAACCAACACTATTGGGACGTTAAACATGCTTGGTGAGTCAAAATCTTCTTCTTCTTCTTACTTAATGTTGTTAGACCTAAACACACCTGGACAGAGTTGGGCAGGAAGGGCAGCTGAGTCATGTGTGTATATTCAGATATACTGAGGTAGGAGATTCTTTAAGAAAGGCGGGTTGTTTGGTTCCCCCCGTCCCCTCGCTTTGAAGACTGTTAGTTTTGGGGGGTTTTCTTTTGTTTGTTTGTTTTTAAGCATACCTGCAGGTGAGCTCTGGCAGCATACCAGTTCGGGTGTTAAAGCGTAAGAACTTCCATATCTGTTACTTGGCTATGGAGCAAAACCTGTGCAGTAATTAGAGAAATCATAGGAACAAATAGGAGCATGGGATTTTGTTACAGTGGCACTGTAGCACTGACTGCAGTTCCTACTGTGCTGGCTTTGGCTTGCTCGTAGCAGGTAATTACAAGGCAAAATTCTCAGCTTTAGCTACCTTTTTTTCACATGCTCTTGAGGAATGGGTCTGTAAATAGAGGACCTGAAGTCTTTACTATTTTTTCTTCACAGCTTTAATCTATTTGACATGTGCTGTTGCTTGAACTGGATGCCTGCAACCACAGAAGTTAGCATGAGGCAAAAAAAAAACTTCTGGGTCCTACCCCTGCTGATTTCTCATATGAGAGATGCCGTTGGGTACAGTTCAGAGGAGTAAATGATTTAGAAGCTGCTGTGCCGCCAGATAGTTGCATGGTCCAGAATAGAGTTTTGTTTGCTTGGCTATGTCAAATTTAAGGTTACAAAGCTATCAGAATAGAGTATCGAGTAATTCCAAATGCTAGGTGCATTATCAAGACTGGTTAAATGGACAGTAATTACAAATGAGAAAAGATACTAGTTTTTTTCTTATAGTAGGTTCTTTTGAGTTTTTTTTTTGTTTTGTTTTGTTTTAATTATCCTTCTGATTTTGGTGATTGTACCACAGTGTTTTGTTTCAATATACTGATTCCCTAACTGGCACGATTTATGTTTTCTTGACCTTTACTTAGAACATAATGTATTAAGTTCTGGATATTGGTTCAGTGTAACTTCTAGTCCCAGAAAGAAACACCTCACAACATGGGGTGTGCTGCTCCACAGCCTCTCAAGGCCCTAGCTTGAGATTGCAAGCAACAAGTGTGATTTGCAGCTAGATATCACTACTGGGAGAAAAAGTTCCTTTTAAAAGCATGTTTAAACATGATTAGAGTAAAGCAGCAAACACAAACAAATGATTCTTTCTCTTGCCTAAATTCTGCTGTTTCCTTTCCCCCCCTGCCCATTCCCTAAAATCTAGGGTTAGCCAAACGTGTTGGGGCACGGCTGCTCCTGGCCTCTACGTCGGAGGTGTATGGAGGTAAGAAGGACAAAAACCTTGTTAGAGCTCTTGAGGTATCATTAACCAATGGGTATTTACAAACCCAGCAATGGGTGTTAGTGTCAAGATGATGTATTTTGCCTTACCTTGATTTCTTCATCAGGTCTGCTACTCACAGGTTAAAATGTGTTGCATTAGTACTTGTTTTATTAAGTCTTTTGTCAAAGTGGTGGAAACAGACTCTGACTGTTGTCTGTAACATTCCTACATCTTGGTTTATGACCTTTTCATTAAGGCTTTGGGGGAGATTTTGAATGTTGAGCTCTGATTAGAATCCAGAATGAAGTATTATGATTACAGTGAATGTTCTTTTACTGAGTGACATTGAAAGTGATATTTTTTTAAGTACATAGACCAGAGGGTTGTTCAGCTACATAACACTAGTGATCTGCCAAAAGGTTCATTACATACGGACAATTTTTCTGTTAACAAAAGATGTTTTGTTTTTTTCCACAGATCCTGAAGTTCATCCTCAAAATGAGGATTATTGGGGCCATGTGAATCCAATAGGCCCCAGAGCCTGCTATGATGAAGGAAAGCGGGTTGCAGAGACCATGTGCTATGCATACATGAAACAGGTATTAAACTGGTATCAGATAGAGTGGGTTTGCAGTACTTGTGAGGGCTAAGTATACAGCAAACAGGGATGTTGCATATGTTTCAGAGTAGAGGGTAGAAAGAGAGCACCTTGGATAGGAGCGTTTGCACTGTAATTGCAAAATCAGTTTTCTTTTAATGCAGAGGTTTTATTGCTCCCATCTGTTGCGGTATTTCAGTTGAGTAGCATTCTCCAAGAAAACGTGCTTTCGTCTTCTCATTAGACTTGTTATGTCTCTGGGTATCGTAAATAGTTTTTTAGATAGATTAAACTGGAGTGACCTTACCAATTCGGGAGCCAGATAAGAGTTGCTTAAAGTTGGTCTTGTGCTCAAGTGCTTTGCTGATTTGGGCCACTACTGATAAAAGTGGAATGTTTAATGAGCGTACTTGATATCCAAATATATGGGTAAAATGAAGCTCTTTAGTGAGTACTCCTATAAGAGCAGACTCCTTTAAATCACTTCAGAATGTATTCAGATTATTTAAGGGTAAATATAGCCTTTAGCAAAAGATAGGAGTACTCAGTTGTAGCATTTTTTTTCAGACAAATACATTAACATGAGGGTCAAAATGTGTTTTAAAACATATTTGTGATGCCGTGTTGCATCTTTCTTGGGTTTAATAATCAGCAAGGAGAAGCTTATCATTAATTAACCCAGCATTGACATTTTACCTGCATGTGAATCTGTTTTTATTTAGTTGCTGTTCAGCTAGTCTCTAGGAGACTAATCTACTGGAAAATGTGACACATGAAAAAAATAGTGTCTCTGTTTCTCTGATTTCCCCTTTGTATACTAAAGCTGCAAACACCATCAAATGTGGTATATTCTACAGAATTTAAAATCTAAATGATAAATTACTAAATGCTTTTTAAAACTTTGAAAAAAATTAAATATAAAAGGTAAGAATTTGGTGAGAGGTATTTTGGCACAGAGGATGTAATAATTTTAACCCATCTTTTCTACCAGATAGACATGAAAAATCTCCATGTTTATATCTCCTTTGCTCTACTTTAAATCTTTTAACTTATAATATGCTGATACTACTGAACAATAGTTTAATGCAGTGTCATAGCATTCCTTATAGGTTTGGAAATTTGTTCACCATTAAATGTTAGAGGTCTTGTGAGAAATCCTTGTGCTGTAGAGCGTTGAGTTTTCTGCGAGTCTGTCGTGCGCGTTGCACTGCTCTTTTAGCAGCGAGGATGGTAGATCATTCTGGAAATCATGGGCTGCATTTTAAGGCCCTAAGATGAGTCATAATATTATCCCATCAGTCTTATGCAGGATTTACAAAGAAGAGTAAAGTCTTGTGAAGTAGAGCTGTGGTGCACACTTGCATTAAATAAAAACTCAATATAAATACTCAATGTAAATAAATGTTGCCTCAGGGCAGCCCCATAGGATCCTTTTGTACTTCACTGCAGCTTAGTGAAGTCTGGCCACGCTTCTTCTGCATTCCTCTATATTCTTAAACACTTCACATTTTTTTCCAAGTCTTGATTTTTACTGTTTTCAGGCAAGAAAACACTGACTTTTGCTGGTGTTGCTAGCGTATCTGACTTCTGCTCCGAAAATGGGTATTGTGCTTCTAAGGACATTTTGCAATAGGAGTGACCTAGCCCAAAAGAACTGGATGTGCAGGACGTCAGACTGAAACATTCCCAGAATCTTCTAAGCTTTAATAAAAAGAAGAAACAAGAAAACTTTTTTTTGGGTCTTCTTTTTTTCATTTCTTCCAATTCCTTCTTTTCCATCATCGTTCACTTTCTTTCTTACATGCACTCATACTTCCAAGTTATACTTCTAAATGGGCTGTTCAGAGTCGGAAGCTGATTGAATACGCTTCATGGTTGCAATTTCTCCATGGACTGTCCTGACCAGGACCTTTTCAGTGCACTCCCTTCTACTGGCAAGGTTGGTTTTTCACTGCTTTGACTCTATGAATTAAACATTTCTTGACTTTCCTGTCCTGTTCACAAGGGCCTTCCTTTGACAAGCGCAGCAGGCTGCAGTGCTTGTTCCTCAAGGAGTTTAAGGGCAGTAGTAGCATTTCCTTAAAGAGAGAGGTGAGGAATTGAGCTGTTTGCTGGAGAATTGCAGGGTTCACAATTTCAAAGCATATATGAGATGAGCCCATCTCATCTCCTCTGAAGCACCTGACTGTGTGATTTGAGAGTATATTTGCTAAAAGGTTTTGGGAGCAGCTCTCTCTCCGTAAATGAGTGTGGGAAAATAGGTCAGCTGCGCTCCTCAGCGCACCTGCCAGCTACAGGGAAGCGAGTGGAATAAATCCCGGTGGTGGATTTATCCTCCCTGCTGCTGGAAGGCCTCTGAAGTCAGCAGGAGCTTTAGTTTCTTGCTCTGCTCCCTTGGGAACTAGGCTATATCTCCTGTTGGGTACCTTGATACCCTTTCCTTGATCTCTTGTTCAGTGTTCAACAGTGCTCCCTCCTGGAAAGCCCTTGGCTGTTCACACCATCACCCCAACAAGGTGCAAGGCTTCGCTTTGAAACTTTGCTCTTTCCTTACAAGAAGAGCTTATTCCGTATGCCTTTTTTTTTTTTTTTTTTTTTCTCCATTCTGGACTTCTCTCTTTGATACTCTTCTGCTTGTCCTTTTCACTCGTTCCTGCCTCTGCTTTGTTTTTGCTGAGGCTTCCATCTGTGGTGTCTACTTGCTGTAGATGTGATGCACTTGCCCATTTAGTAATTGTGCTTCTCCACAAAAATGACTCAAAGTTTTAGCTTTCCAGAGAAGGTGAAATGAGAATTTTACAAAAGGAACAGTGTTCTCTGAACAACAAATAAAATTTTACTGGACAAATAGGTGGGGAAGAAAGTTCATGGGAAGGACATGGGGGCTGGAGATTCAACACTTACTATTGCATTCTCATTTTATGCTTTGTTCAGAAGTTTCCATACCGTGTGCAATTCCAACTTATATGGTGAAAGAGAAGAAATTATCTGTTAAGAAATTCCCAGACCAGAAGCCTGTATTTCTGGCATCTCAGAGGAGGAAAGGAGTGTCTCATTGCTCCTCTTGTGATGAGTCTCATCACAAGAGATGCATCTTGTGATGTGTCTCATCAGGGCAGTAGCCAAGCAGCTCCGAGAGCAATTCTTCAGTACTAGAGGTGATAGTAACTGCTGGGTATATCTCAAGCCAAAAGTAAATATCAGTGTTAAAATACCATTGGTCCCTTTAGTTCTTTAGAAGCCCTGAAGAAGAGTTTCATTTCCCATTCAGGAACAGCAGGTCTGAGGTGAAGCTTGGAGAGAGGAGCCTGTAAAATGCTAATGCATCCTCACTGCTCGCCATGAGATGGCATTGACATCCCTTAAACTGCAGGCATCCTCAGCACTGTTAATGTTCTCCTGTTACCCAAGTTGTTGCATGCTAAGTCAGTGAAATTCAGAAAGAAAAGAGGATTGGGCACATTCCTCTGCAAAGTTTGGAAGCTCACATACGCACAATTGTATCAGTCTTCTCAAAAAATGCAGTGGTTCCATTGGAAATAGAAAGCACTGCTTATTAGTCACGTTTTTGTCTTTTGCGGTGAATTGGCTCCACTTTACTGAGAAGGTGATGCTACTTTCAGCCATAGTAACTGCACAGCTCACAAATATGCTTTTATGCTTTGGAAAAAGAAATGTCAGATAAAAGTCAAAACTTCCCTATAGACCGGTAAAGCTAAATCCTGCAAATTGCAGCAATTTGGGGATCAGGCTTTTGAAACTTGTTCATTCTGGTTGCTGTCAGGCAACCCTGTGATACTTCTCTGGTAAGCTGTTGTTTTCTAAACTCCAAACTCCAAACTGTTGGATTCTTGGGTTTGCACATTTTTCCAGTGGATTGTTGAAGCTGTCTGACATTTTTTTTTCTTTGTAGGACTTTTGCACATAAACCACAGTGTCATTGTGCTTGGCCCTGTAAAGTGTAGGCACTGAATATTGTCTTCTAAAGTTGCCTGCTGTTAATATCCAGTTAAAGGGAGTGAACTGAAAGGCAGGGAGTGAAGCAGAACTGCGCAATATCTAAGGCAATATCATAAAAATGCAACCTCTCATTTCATCAGGTCATCAGTAGTAGGAGGCTTTCTGTAAAGTGGAGGGGTTTCTCTACTAGGTTGTCTGAATTGGGTTGGTGTAGCTACCGTGCTGCGACTTCCCAATGCAAACATGGCATGTATACAGCAGGGAAAAACCCTCTGTCTTCCTGCCCGTGCTCTGGTATGTGGTTGTGCTCGTGTTTGAGTAGCACCTGTACTGTTTCTATGTGCTTTGCGTTGCTAACAAACGTAAGGACTTTGTAACAAACACCAGGATAGAAGATCATCTTGCCATAATTATCAGTTTTCCCAAAAAGGCTCAAATGCTTGAATTTAATCTGCACTTTTTGCAAGTTTAGTTCAGAAGGCAATAAAATTTTTAACCTTGTTTTTTTTCTTTTTTTGTAATTCATTTCAGTAAGTTTAGCCAGCGTTTGAGAGACAATATATACATAGGAGCATTTGTCTTCTGATTCAAACAGGCTGTTTTTTTTGAGGTTTCTCATTTTAGTTAACCCCTTATTTTACATCTATTATATTATTATATGGCTACTGTGGCTCTAAACCCGCTATCGTGGCGATGTGTTACATCCTGTAGGTGCTCTTGCCACACCAGTTTGTGAATGTTACTCTCACAGAACTCTCCATCACACTGAAGTCTGAAATTGTTGTGTTTGGCCCATGAACTGTTATTCATTTGCTTGTTTTCTTGCCCCGTGTTGGAAACTCACAGGGAACGGTTCAAAGTTCCCGTTCAGTGGCTCTCATTGCGCTGGTGTTAGCTGCCCTGGTGAGATGCAGGCTGCCTCCTTGTGTTCAAAGCTGGCCTGTGCAGCACAATACTGAACTTAAAAATCCCTGTCTGATGGGGATATCCTAGTAACACATCTAAATGGGTGCACATCTCTTCCAAATGGCACTGTCTCCTATAAAAATGTTGGTGGAGTTGGCTTGTGACTGCTTGCCTTGGCCATATACAGTACAAACAAATAGCAAGCAGAGGCAAGCCCTAGAAATAAGATGAGCTTTTCACAGGGAGATGTAAATAATGATATGAAGAGACCCTGAAATGTTGCAGTAAGATCTCTAGCGTGGGAAGTGTTGTGCTGCAAGCACGGCAGGGATGTCAGCCATGAGGCAGGAGTGCTGCCAGGTATTCCTTGGTTGTGCGGAGAGTGGAATCGGATGTCAGGGTCCTCGCTGCCTTGTTTAGGAGCTTATCACTTATGAAATATAATCTCACCCGTGCTGAATGTTTTCAAAGCAGTTCTTGGTAACCAGAAATGAATCTCATTTTGCTTATTCAGTAGGCAAAGTATGGGTGTCTACATACGTGTGTGTGTGCATACATACATATATACACACAAATATGTACATACATGCACATATACACATATATGTGGGTGTGTATTTAAGTGTGTGTATATGTGTATGCAGACATATATATACACAAATATCTGTATGTATGCACACATACACACACACGTATATATGTAGATAAATAGTACCTTAGGCTAAGCTCTCAGTACTGGGCCTTATAGCTTAAAAAATACCACCAATGCACTCTGGTGAACTGTCTGCCAGTAGTTCTGGATACGGGAAATAATCTAAAGAGAGTTAATTAATGTTGTCTGAAACACATAAATAAAAGAAATAAATGAAAGAATAAAGTCACTAACAAAATGACTAATAAAGCAAGGGAGGAAGACAGCAATCTTAATATTTTTACCCAAAATATTGATCGAGATTTGTCTCAGCTCATGGTACTTGTCCAACTGCCTGGACTTTCCCTGGGAGATGATGCATCTAAAGCACTTAAGGCTCTGGGGGTTTTGTTGGGGTTTTGCTTGCTTGTTTGTTTTGTCAGAGAGTCTTAATGGTCTGTGCATGTTGGTCGCTTGGCAGCCTTCTCTTTCCTGACCTTTGTGTGCGGAAAGGTCTCATACTTGCTGTTTACATGTTTGCAAAGAAAGAGGCCATAACTCTTAAAACAGCAAGGCAGGTTTGTCTGATACCTTAATGAATTATGGCCACAGCATATGTTGAGGTTATTTCAATTAAAAAAAAAAAAAAACTTATCATTTGAATTATGTTCTGTACTCATTCATTTTCTCAGACAGTCAAGACAAGGAGATGTCTTTTCTTGAAAAGCTTACTACACTGAAATATGTCTTTCTAAATTAAGATATATTCGTAACACCCTTGATACCTTGCTGCTTTATGGAGCCAGGATCTCTGGAGTAGTGGCTAATACGTGCTGCAGACCATGAACAAGTTAGTGGGGTAGGACAAGAAAAGAAACCTCTCCTGTCCTCATTGGCTGCAGTAACTTCTTTTTCTTTAGTATGATAAGCTTGTACCCACCTTCTCTGCATTCTACTGTGTTATCTTTTGTTGTTGTTCAGAGGAGCAATCTATATGTGAGCCTTGGAAAATATTTTCTGCATCTTCTCTGTCTTCCATCTCCCTCTGCACAGGCATGGTCTCTGTACATGTGTCCTGATAAATGAAAGAGTTGGAGAGCACTGAAGTGGATTGCTAGCCCACACTGCTGTGTTTTTTATGTTGCTGCATGACTCATTTGTAGGTTCCTCAAAAAAAAATTCTTTATCTTTATGAATTTGCTTTAAGATTAAGAATGTGCTCAGTGTAGACTAATGCTGGTTGATCCCATTTGGTCTCAGTGCCAGGGATTCCTTTAAGTACTATTTTGTTCGCCAGTATAAAAATGGCTGAAAAAGTTTCCTCCTTTCTTTAAGATTTAATGAAAAAGTGTATATGGCTTGGTGCTAGCTCTGCCCACTAATCTAGGGAAGTGATTGACTTGGCTAGCGGGAATTCTGTGGAGGGGTCAGTCGCAGTGAATATGCTGCTGATGTTCACATAACCAGGCATGGGAGGGTGCCCATTGGCGCTTGTAGGCAGTTAATGCTAAAAGGAGTAGAGAATTACTGAACATGCACAAAAGATCAGATTCAGGTTTTCCTGAAGTGAAAAGCAAATGTTTTGGTCACATGTTAATTTCCTGGCACCAAAATATGTTTATGGAAGTGTTTGTTAAGAGAAGATACATCCCAGTTTTACAGGGTGTGAAAATTCAGTTTTCCAGAAAATAAATTTTCAAAGCAGTACAATACAGGGAAAGGTTTTACCTGATGACACTTCAAATAAAAAGTTACGCATTTTAAAAGACAGCATTGCTCTGTTTGACCAAAACAAACAAACAAAACCTTTAAACTGCAGGGAGGGTAAGTGCTGAAGTGCTGGGTTTACTGTTACCCTGCGAGCATTGTGGTTCTTACCCAGAGCCCTCACTAGTTTCTAAGCAGTGTGTGAAAACAAGACTGCTGCTGCTGCAAGTCGTGCACTAGGAGAGTCACTTTTTGGTCCGCATTAATTTAATGAGTTATTTTTATCTTAGGGCCTAGCTTCCAAGTGCTATTCAGTGCTTGTTATTTATGGGTATATCTGGAAAGTCCCCATGAAATACAGTCCCTCCTTGGAGGAGATTATAGGCTTCTAGGAGAGCGTGCTGGGGAAAGCAGAAAGGACACGAAACTCTGCCCGCCTGTGTGCTGCGGTGCGGTGGTGACAGCGGTGATGGATCCAGGATGGGATGCTGGGAGCAGTGCATGCACAGCAAATGTGTGTACCTCTGGCATACACTGCGGTGCTTTTCTTAACGAGCTGAAGAGCAAATGAAGAGCCTGATCCTGGTTGCTGCATTTTGCATGGGCAGGAGCTTTTGCTCTACCCAGGATAACGTAGCAGTAAAAAGACGATGCGAGGTTATTTTTTGGCAGCAGTGGACAGTGTTGAGTGTTGCTTGGTTATTCTTGTTTGTCAACAGTAGTTAACATCTGAAATGTTGAAGTGTATTTTGACTGTTTCATTATCCTCCTTGTGGAGTGCTAATGCTGCTGCTTTCACAAAATGCCCTCGAGGATTGATTTGTTTGTGGATGGATCACTTGGAGACCTAAGAGAGAGAATCAGATTTTAGATTTTGAATCTATACATTTATTTCTAAGAAAACTGTTCCTAGGGTCTCTCTCCTGAATGGAGTGTGAGCTGTGTCCCTCAGCCACCAAGGTGTCACTATTACATTTCCTGTGTGCACACCCCCATCTTCCTGGGAAGTGGCAGTCGGTGACCTACTTGATCTAGCCGTCTACGTCTAAGGAAGCCCCAGATGGAGGTGGTTGTTTTTGGAAATTATTAAAGTGCATGAGCTGAAGTCCTCAGTGGTGCTGGTGCTGATTTAGAATTCGCATTGCAAATAGTGAGAATTTGTGTAAATCATCATGTCTTACGCGCTGTGGTTTGCAGGTGAGAGGTTCAAATTATTTAATGGTAAGAAAAGAACTCATTTAAAGTATGTAAGAGAGATTCTTAACAAACATTGGAGGGAAATGGTCAATTTGCATTTTTTGGAAGAAAGATTTGTAATAAAGTAGTGACACTTCTTTCTCTTTACCCACAGGAAGGGGTTGAAGTGAGAGTTGCCAGAATATTCAATACCTTTGGTCCTCGAATGCACATGAATGATGGTAGAGTTGTCAGCAACTTCATCCTGCAAGCTCTCCAGGGAGAACCCCTAACTGTGAGTAGTGGCATCTTAGTGATGTGATGTGTCCACTTGCTGAATAGCTTAGCCTCATGTGCTGTGATTTTTAGAAAACACTGAGGTTTTCCACCTACAAAAATCTAGTTTCACAGTGTATCACACTTGCATATGCAAGGATGTATTCTGCCAGTGCTGTTGCTCTTCCTTTCCCAGAGGAAAGTTCTGGTTCTAATGTGAGACAGTGTTTTCAGCCTCTGTCACAGCTCTTCCATGGGAATGAGTCGCAGCAAGATCCACAGCAAGCAGGCAATATGTTTTCATAGCTCTTCTGTTGAGGAATTTTTTCCTCTCAACTTTTCAAAATTAGCAATCTAAATGCCTTTTTTGGCAGAGCAGCTGAAACTTTCCATATGTAGAATAACATTAAAGGCCCTCAGTCGACATTGTGTTGTAAATAAAACAGCTGAGGACCACATTTTGTGACTGTAGACAAAGTGACATCGCGTAGCCCTCCTCTCTACAGCTAGATCTTCCTGTATCCAGAACAAGTCTGTTGCCAATGGTCTTTGGCTCTTGCTAATGCTTAAACAAGTGTCACAGACTGGGAGAGCAGGAGCTGGAACAGGCCAAAACAATGCCAGCAACACTGCTGATAATTCAGCAGTACACGCAGTACCTGTCCTATGTCCTGGGCCTGTTAAGTCTCCTGTTGCAAAATAAAGAGTGTATGTAGTGGAAGTGGGAGGAAACACGTCGTAAAACAGGAAGAGTAGTTTGGGATTTGAGATCTGTTGTTGAGCTCATGGAAACATTTGCAGTTTGCTTGATATACCACAGAAATTTCATATAAATTCATTATTACCGCCTAGATGTAAAGAGTGAAGTAATTACTCAAAGGCTTATGGGCTCTTATTCTGAAAAAGAGCTATAAATGTTGCTGAGTGTCTCTACAGGGCCATTGACTTGAGACTGAACTAACATTCCTTCTACTAGAGACTGTAAATCCGAAGTTCAATCAGGGCTTCCTGTAGGACGGGAAGGTGATCTAAGGATGGAAAAGGATGAAGTTTTTGTAACAGCTCCTGCTACTGTGATTCTTGTGGAACAGAACCTGAAGTGGGGCATGGCACTTTCACAGCAATATGTCATGCTCTGGCAAGGACAGGCTTGATGTCCTGTAATAGAGTTCACCTTGTTTTGTTTTGTTTGTTTTTACTACATGATACACCCAAATAGGGCTGCTCCTTTCAGAATTCATGTAGCAGACATTGCCCTGCTGGTTGGGTGAAATCTCTGAGAAGCTGAAATTGTATTTAGTCTGCCAAGCAATCAACATCTGTATTAACTACACTGATTATTTTTGAAAGTTTAGTCTTCTCTAGAAATCAGCCTTGGCTTGCTTGCTCATTGCTTATCAATGGTTGTCGCCTTAGGCATTTTTTCTATTTTTCGGTGTTACTAGTGTTGAGTTTCACTGTTACTCCTGACCATTGCATTTAAGTTACTAGTTTTGCCTTGTGTTTATTTCATAGTAACAAAGTCCATAATCTGAGTGCTCTGGCCACAGCACCTCCTGAAGATTCACTTTTCTTCCCCAGAATTTTAGTTTTCTCTCTACAAAGTGCTGTGGCTGCTGTTGTTGGATGCAGCCTGCAATCAGTGGCAGATAAGCTGTCATGGAGAGCACAGGTCTCTGTGGCTCTGCCCGGGGAGGCCGGCAGGAGCCGGGAGCCCAGGTGGCCTGGTCAGTGCTGCGGGGCCTCCTCAGCACCGAGTGGGCCCATTGCCTGAGCACGGGTGCCCGGTGCAGGAGCTGCCCCTTACGGCTCACACCCTGCCTGTTCAGGAAGAAGTGCTTGTCCACTCAATTTCTCAGTAATACTGCTCCAGCATAGAAGCAGCAGAGATATTAAGCAATTAAGAGAGAGGAGGAGGAAATACAGTTGTCATTTGCTAATAATGATCAAAAATAAACACTCTCAACTTTTTCTTTAGCTAGAATTTTGTATTTTGTGCTACTGATTCATATCAAAAGACAGTCCCATCAGTTTTTTTCTGGTGGGAAAATTTGCATTAAAATATGATCTGAAGTGATTTTGAAGTGTTGGCTGCACTTCAGTAAACTGATTTTCCTAATTCTTCTCAGATCATAGCAAGATTGAAGTGAATTACTTGTATTATAATGGTAATCCATTTCTGGTCTGTACATTAACAGAAATAGTTTATTTGCAAAGAGGTGTTTATAAGGCAGCAAAAGTGTATCTAAGACTCGAGATGTCCACTAATTGGCAGCCTTTGGGGCCTGGGGCCTGTCAGCAAGGCTGGCTGGCTAGAAGAACCTGCAGGGACACAGTTCTTTTTTTAGTACTTGCTTACCAGTATTGCAAATGTTATTTCTTTGTCCTCAAAGCAAACAGTTATTGACAAAAACCACAAGGATACGGCATGGATACACTCCTGAAACGTGAATGCTGGTCTCCCAACAGCCAGGGTGACTGCCAAGGTTGTCTGGAGGCTGCTCTGCTCTTTCTCTCTGTTCGATGATGCCCTGAACACGGGGCTGATGGGCAGCACGTAGGGTTGTGCCTTGGAAGGGATCTGCCCTTTCCTGGTGCCACGTTGTCCTGCTGCAGGCAGACGGGTGCCTTGGGTAGCGGGTTGCCCACATCTATCACGTAGCTTGAAACAAAACATGCACAGAGTGGCCCAGCAGTCGAAAAAGCTTTCGACTTCCTGCAGGAGTTTGATCTCCTTACTGCTCAGACTCCCAAAAGCTGCAGGGTGAGGCTGGGGCTGTTTGTTGCAAGGCACTGAGCAAGCAGGAGGAGGGGAGAAGGTGCCGCTTCTTGCTTAGGGACTTCAGCTCCCTGTAGGGCTTGCCTTTAGCAAGACAGGACTGTAACTGTGTCCTCATTGCTGGTGACATCCTGACGTTTCATTGAAAAGAGATATCTTTTGTAAGTAGAGCTAAGTACAGTCAGTGGAAGTTCTATGAAGACTCACTAAGTATGAAGACATTATCTTGTTTTAAAATAGGCAATCCTTGGGGTATTGTAGACTGTCGGCAAGAGAAGCCTGGAGTCGCTGCCAGCCTGTGGAAGGGATTATTGAAGGCTTTTTGTCCGTGCTGTTAGCCTGACCCCCATGCCATCCAGACCTTATCAAGAACGTAACAGGAGATAAAATGCTTTAAACATTTTGTCCAACATTGCTGTTCCTTTGGAAGGAACTATCTGACATGGAAAATTACTGGATGTGAGGAAAGAACTAAGGCTGGGACTGTCTTGCTGTCCAGGTCAAATAAAATGAACTGTCAGCAAGAAGCAGTAATTGAGACAAAAGTATTTTACCCTTGTATTACTAGAGAATTAGTAATAGTAGTTAGAATTAGAGAATTAATAGAGAATTACTGTTACTTTGTTTGGCAAGGATACCCAATGTTGACCTTTTTAGAAATCAAATATATTCAGTCTCTTTTGGTTCAAAGTAGTTGTTCGAGTGGAATAAATTAATCCTGCAAAGTGAAAGCAATCCCATGAATTACCCTGGTTTAAGAGATCGTAGCCTGTGCAGACGTGGCCACTGTTGCTTTTTATTGTTGTAGAGGTTGTATTAAGACAAACTGAGGGGGGTGGCAGAGGGAGTGTTGGAAATTCTCCATCCGTTGCCTGCATGGAAGAAATGTAGCCCTGAGGATAACTTCTGAGGAGTCTTGCACACAACTTTGTTCTGCAAACCCTCTACAAAAAGGTAATTGATAGTGAGTGGGAAGCTCTCTACGTACTTACATGAAATCTGCTCCCTACTTCCATACTGGTTGCTTCAATATACGGAATCTGAGGGAAAATGCTCTTTCCATCCCTGCTAGGGTTTCTAAACAAATATGTATAGGGGAATCATGTCCACTAGAAATTTTTCCATCTCTCCTTGGCACAGATACTAATATTTGGAAAGTCATACTTTTTTTTTTGGGGGGGGGGCGGGTCGCTACTAACATTTGGTTGTTTCTTTGAAGCCATCTTTTGTTGTGGAGCAAATAAAAGTGGGCTGTCAGAACCACATCTTAATATTCTGAGCTTGCTTTAAATATTTGGCTTTTTTTCTGGCTGAATTCATACTGCAGCCTCTTTCAGTGCTCCAGGAGAGGACAAAACGTGGCTTTGTTGCACATCTTGGGAAAATGCTTCCTACATCCAGAGTTCGGGAGTAATGTGATGCATAAGGGTATGTTTGCTGGAGACACTTCCAACAGAAAAACTAAAAGAATTGCTGCTTTTGCCAAAAGCTCTGCTAAGCATCTTCGTTGGTCCCTGTACCATGGGCTTTATGTCCCAGATGTTTCTCCTTGGGACTTCTAGAATGATGAAGAAGTAGAGGAAGATAAAAGTCCATTTTTTTCCCCTAACTTCTCTAATTTTTACCTATTTTTAGGTTTATGGACCTGGGACTCAGACAAGAGCTTTCCAATATGTCAGGTAAGTTTCATCTGTGCTCTCTGATACTGTTTCCTTAGCATGACAGTTCTTTGAGCTTGGCCAGCTTAGTATATAGCACAAAACAGGCTTGCACTGGCATTTTTTTTCTTAAATTAAGAAATTGTTTCCATCCCTAGGACAGCTTTGCTTTCAGAAAGGGGATATTGAAGATTGGAGAAAAAAAAAAAAAAAAGGCAAGAAACAAGAGGTTATTGGGTTTGGAGCTGCGGGTGGCGGGGTGGCTGTGCCGTGTCCTGGAGGGACGGCAGGGGTCGCGGAGGCGGGTGGCGGGTCCCTGTGCTGCAGCGCGGTGCTGCCGCCCCACGTCCGTGCGGCCCCGCTGGGCGCAGGGAGAGGCTCCGGGGGTTGCTGCCACAGCCAATATTTACAGTGTAAGCAAGGCCAGAATGTACTTTCACTAACGAAGGGGGAAAAACAGGATGCTTGGCTTAGTGTACGGTAGGAATTATTTCAGGATTAGAATTCGCTTGCAAGTACGAGGGGACATGGTTTTGATTTTCTTCCTTAAAGATTTCTTTTGTTTCCTGGTGGTTAAGGTGGAATTCCTTAATAAAACTGTAATTGTAGGAGTGTGCAGGTTCAAAGTAGCGTTTTGTTGCTGCCGTTGGTACAGAGGGACTGTACTTAGATTTGCTGTATTTCTCTTTTGACACTCCTTCCTTCCAAGGCTTGTGAGTCTGCAAACCAGAACTGAAATGAAAGCATAGTGTGTTAAGCACATGCAAAACCCAGACATTCAGCAGTATGTATTTCTCCATGTTCCTTTAAAATAGAAGCCAGCATCTTCCAAAATGGAGAACTTCAGTATTTTCTGGGACCAGCATTAAATGTCTCAAGGCCACCAAAATTCTGCTTATTATTTTCTGGTTAATGTTTTGGTGTGGGAGTAGCAAGGGGAAGTAGAGGGAGTGTTAAGAACTGAAAACAGCTTTTACAAAGAAAAGTTTACAAAATACAGGTTTACAAACTCATTTTCACAAAGAAGTGAACTAACATTGTCCATTTTAGTAAATACTTCAGAGTCATGCAGCACTCCTCTGGTTGTTTTCCCCTTACATTCAAACAAAAACTGTTTTGAGACTAATATCTCTTTTTTCTTACAGGAAACTAAGAATAATACCTTAAATATAAGCTTGATATTTGAAAATCTTAAAATACAATTACGCAGTAGGGATTTAGAAAAAAAAAAATGAAACAAGCCATTTTAGTATTTTGAGGGATGCGTTGCTAATGAATTTCAGTGACATTTGTAATTGATATCACTGAATATATTTACTGCCATGAATATGTTTGCATGAGCTGTATTTGTTTTCAGAAAATGTATTTGCACATGAAACCCAGTAAGTAGCGCTAGTTACTCTAGTTAATTTGGAGCATTTTATTTGATTTTTCGCAAGTAAAAATCTTACATCTCCCAAGAGAATAACCAGCTTCTTACCAGGTTTATGCTAGGGACAGAGGGATTCTAATGTTTTGGTGTTGGAGTCTTGCTCTAACTAGTGACCAGAAGTTGACATTCACAATTTCATGCATGTGTGAGGTTAGGAGCCTACATCAAACTTACCACATTACTGAACTCATTCTTAGAGGAAAAAATAAGGAAAAAGATACATTTAAAATAAACCTTGAGCTGCTATTTTAAAATTCAAAACACATAGCAAGTGGAGGTCCACTTCCTTTTTATCTTACATTTTCTTTATTTATGTGTGTGTGTATATATGTCTTTATATTTCTTTACATATAGGTCCAAAACACATTTTTTTTCTCCTATAAGACCACAATCAGTTTGAAAGTACAAGATTGCCAAATTTAGGCTATAACATCTCATGTTCAGAAGTTAAACTTTATCCTCAATAGAATTGGTTGCAAGTATAAAAATTCTAAGATCAAACCATTGAACTAGAATTAATGGAAAATACGATACAGTCTTTGTGTCTTCTTCCCAAATGACATTTCAAGCACTAGAAATTATTTTTATGAGGAGGCTTAATATAAACAGTAACAGCTTTTGGAAGATTTTCAAAGTCACGTAATAGTTGGCAAACTACAACTAATAGTAGCTCTCAATTTAGAATTGGTAACATTGGTAGACCCAAGAGCAATGCAGTAGTTGGAGTAACATAATTACAACTGCTGCTGTGGTCAAGTCCTGCTGTTATGGTCAAGACTGCCCGAAGATGAAGGCGTTTCTTAGGTGGTTTCTGCTAGCTAGTTAAAGAGTAAAAAATAACTAATAAATTCAGGAAGATTTATTATGGCGGATAAAAGCGATGTTAGCTGCTCTATTAATTACAAGCATTTCACTTGATCATACTCTTCATTGCCTTTAAGATGCTTAAAAGAGAAACCCGAAGCTCTAATTTCATCTTAGAGTCTACGCTTGCTTCCCTTGAAATTAGCAGCATTTGTTCAGATACAAGAGTCCATCTGCACTGATCAGATTGCAGTATTGAAGTTGGTTTCAGATGAATAAGATGCACATTTTTGTTCTGTCTTGCTGGCTAAACTGCAGTGCCAGACTTCTGCTTTGGTGGCTGAGGAGGGAGATATTTTGTTGTTGAGGAGAGGGGAGATGACACCAAAATACTATTTTTAACATACTCAATTTGAAAATTTTTGGAAGGAGCAAACGCAAACAATGAGGTGCAAAGCAGGCAGTGTTTTCATGTGCCTCCGCAGAGGATACAGTATGCTGCTTTTTGAAATGTATTGCAAATTGGCCTTTAAATAAGCAAGGACTTAGGGTTCTGGAAGAAAAAAAGTTACTGCCTTTTGTGAACATTTTATTTTCTGGTTTTATCTTTCATATGCTCAGAGGAATTGTTGCAAACATAATCGCCCTTTAAAACTGAAAAGTTTGAAACTTTTTACCTAAAAATCCAGGAAATCTTACATGATAGGGACAGTGGAGCAAACAGGCAAGGAAACATAGACCTAGTGAAAAACACACTATAAATCTGATTTTGGCCTTCCTCAGCTGACCTGTGTGCTTTACCACAGTTCTGAAGAGGCAACTCTCTTTCGTAGATTAGAGCATTTACAGGGAAATGGGATCCTGCCTCAATTTATTCTTTCTTTTTCCCTAGTGATCTCGTGAATGGGTTGGTGGCCTTGATGAACAGCAATGTCAGCAGTCCCGTCAACTTGGTAAGTGGGAGGGTTCTGCTCTGTTGCTCCGCAGTCACCATCACCTCTCCTCCTTGTCACTCAAGGTAGCTTCCTGAAGAAATAAACACAGCAAAAAGGCTCTTTCCATCAGGAATAAAGCCTATATGCTCCTTAGAAAGAAGAGTATTGAGCCCCTGGGTGTTGGTGCCTGGTAGTCCCAAAAACAAGAGGAATTTACTAAACTTACTGTTTGTTTTGGCAATAAGATTCATGTGGTTGAAATGTGGAAAAATGAAACAACAGAAGTGAGGAGAAATGTCCAAAAGAAATGATTGAAGCCTTTATTTGTTTTTGTTGTTGTTGTTGTTGTTGTTGTTGTTGTTGTTTTTTTAAAAAAGGCACTAAAGGAGTCCCAAGATTCAGAAATTAGAAATCACTGTATACTAGTCTTATGGGAGAAAATAGGATAATATTTGATCATATATTTTTATATATATTTTTTCCCTCAAAGTAGAAATGAATATTTACTTCTTTTCATAGCCGAACATGACTGTTAGAATTATTTTGTGTCAGAAAGCTAGCATCTCTTAAGGTGATTAATTGCTGTTGCAATGATTATTCTTCCATTCGCAGGGAAACCCAGAAGAGCACACTATTCTAGAATTTGCCCAGTTAATTAAAAAGCTTGTTGGTGAGTATCGTAAGTCGTTATTCAATGAAGCTCGTGAAGTATTTATTGTTGTGTGATTATTGTTACTTGATCAGTGTGTGTAATAGGAGGATGATTAAGTTGGTCTTTGGATTTCTTAATAACTCTATCAAAGACATTTAATTGTATCCCGATCATATAATTAAATATAATTGAAAGGGGATTTTGACTCTCTGATTAATATGTAAAGCAGTGCATGAACAGCAGAACTGAATACATTGTTTCTGTCTGGGTCATGTATCATAGTAGTTTTACATATTGTTTATGGAAGTTAGTAGGTTATTAGTGGCTAGTGAAGAGACTTTCTCATTGTTGTACTTGCTTCATGGAATGTATATAAATTGCTGGGCATCTCCTTCTTTTTCTACACCACAATTCTGAGATCCACAGAGAATCAGACTCCCAAAATGGTAGTAAATGACTGACTGTGCTCAGTCTTCTAATGCAGTTTCCTCGTGAGATGAAGCACACTGATACCATTGGCAAGGATTTTCAGTCTGTAGATTCCAGCAGTTCTTTTGAGGGATCTGTAAAAGGCACCTGAGAAAAGCAAGTTAAAATGTATGGTACAGACCCTCATGAATGTGATGATTCTAACATGGGACTCTTCCCCCTGGTAAACATCTATGAGTCCAGAGACCGGGAAGGAATATTCAAAACCACAGTACCAAGCCCATCTAGCAGATAAAATAATTGTTACCTCCTTTTGCCTATTTGCTCACAAATAACTTGGTCTCTTTGACTGTGTCCGAACAAGTCATTTAGTTTTATACAGGTTAAATCTCTCACAGTTAGATGACACATAAATAGTTTGCTGGGTTTTCTCAGAGACCTTGTCATGTCTCTGTATGTTGTTACGAGGAAACCCAAGTTCTGTGTTGGATCTTTAACAATCAGGCTGAAGAATGTGGTCAAAGAAGTAGTGAATTCCTCTGCAGTGCCAAAGTGCCCAGCTGGTTCACCCAACCATTGCACTCAGTGCAGCTGCCTGTGTGGAAATTTCAGTGGTAGGAATTAGGAAAGAGAGAGCTGCAGGGAAACCTGATCCTCACCAGGAAGGAAGGATGTAAATGTGACGGATAGGGAATTAAGTATGGTAACGTGCAGTCCCTTGTTTGTTAGGCAGCGGAAGTGAAATCCAGTTTCTCTCGGAAGCACAGGATGACCCTCAGAAACGAAAACCTGACATCAGAAAAGCCAAGTTACTGCTTGGCTGGGAACCTGTGGTAAGTCAAGTTCTATTACTGTTGTGCCTGAAAAACATGGTGGGGAAGAGAGCATGTTTCAGTATATTTTCCAGGTCACATTACAATAGGATCTCTTAAGTTATCAGAGTATCTGTTCAATGGGGCAGTTATTTATGAGGCTGTTAAGTGTCTGAGTGTCTCAAACATTGCCCTATCTCATGATTCAGGAACTGTTGGGTGAGATTTTACGGCCTGTGCCATGCAGGAGAGCAGATCGGCATTGGCATTTCTAACGTCTTAAGTACCAAAAAAACCTATCCTACTTTTTTTTTTTCTTTTTAGCTTCTTCACATGCCTAACATTTAGCTGCTGCCTTTGTGTGAGCTTGACCTGTACTTTGGAATATGTGATACATAGTAATGAGAGCTGATGAATTTGCTGCAACTACAGGCCTCATTCCTGTTTTGCTGTGGTAACACAAGTTATGGAAGGAGGAATTTAGTCTTATTTAACAATTTTTTTTTTTTTAAAAAGGAGTAATTTTTTTAAGATGATCTGCAACATCCTTGCAATTTGAATTGAGAGAGATTTAAGAACAGAAAAAATGTTGCTAGAGTACATTTAGAATAGATGAAACCAAAGAAAAACAGACCATGGAATTAACCTGAGATAGCTGACATGGATTCTGGCAGACTGAACTAAACCAGAGGAAACTGCTGTTATTCTGGGCTTACCGGCGCTAGTTCTGTGTTCAGGTAATCTCAGCCCAGGGTTGTGAACATGCTCAGGGTTGGTCTATCTTTTTCTGACTTTAACTTACTGTTCACCTCTCAAGCCTAGTTGTTAGTCATCTGAGATGATGTCAAGTTTGTGGTTGTTCTGCACAGACAAAATGTAAGAAATGCAAAATGTCCGAGCACTGTGTTTTCCTAATCAGGAACTTCACTAGGAAGATTGTGCATGGGAGTAGTTGAGCACAGTGGAAGCTAAAAGCTGGTTTGTTTGGGAAGGGTGAAGCCCATTTAATCCCAGGAAGATGGTGGCTTCCTTAGCCAGCTCTCCTTTCTGGCGAGGTTGGTGATTTGTTGGCTTTTGGGGGGTTGCAGACCAAAACCTTTCCAGGAAGGTGTGGGCCCCTGTCTAGTAAGTATAAGCCCATCATGAGCAGGAAAGTCGAGCTCCAGAGCACTTCAAAAGGATTCAGAGATGGCAGAGGTGGCCACAGCTCAAGGTAGGAGGAGGATGGCAAGCTAAGGATCACTAAAGGTTGGAAAGTTAACTTGGATTTGCTTCTGACCTTTCATGTTTGGGGTCAGGCTTTACACTTACCTCGCAGTGCTGTGTTGGGAAATGAAGTTGTAATAAACTTGTTGCTCCTGTCCACAAACTGCAGTACTTAAATACAGACCTAGAACGTGAAGAATAACAATGATGTGCATAGAATAAAAAACAGCAGGCTGATAGTTTGTGTGTGTCTTTTTTTTTTTTGTATGTTAGTGATACAGTTAAGTAAAGCAACGTTTTTTTTTACAGAGATTCTGTGAAAGATAGTAATTAAATTAATTAGATTAATAGTTAAAACCAAGAAGAGCTTAGATTTGTGTTTATCTCTTTGCATGTGTAATGGAAGTATTTTGCGCATCTGGACACAAAATGGACCAGTTACAACTATTTGATGCCGACTTTTATTTTTAAACTTACTCCATCAGAAGATATTTCCGATGCTTGAAAGCTGTCCTACAGTAGCAGTGCAGAGATATAACCAGTGTGTGGTGCTGTTAATACTTGTACTGACAAAGAATCAAAGGGTTTTACAGCAGGGTTGTAATAGCTGTGATAGAAAGATGCTATTGTGAAAAGAGCTGATGCGAACTTGGTGATATGATTCTCTCCCTGTTTTTGGGAACAGGTCCCGCTGGAAGAAGGTTTGAATAAAGCCATTCATTACTTCCGCAAAGAGCTCGAGTATCAGGCCAACAATCAGTATATTCCCAAACCAAAACCCGCACGGATGAAAAAAGGAAGAACAAGACATAACTGAAGACTGTTAGTTGGACAGAAAACCCCCTACTTGACATTTGATGGGATGTACTTTTTCTTTCTTAGGTTTTTTTTTTTTTTTTAAGAGAGACTTTGAAACAGGTATCATGAAGAACAAACTGGAATTTCATTCTGAAGCTTGCTTTAAAGAAGTGGATGTGCCTAAAACAACAAACAACAACAAAAAATACAAAAAAAAGAAATCCCCATCCCCTGCAAATCTTGCCTTGCACTTTTTAAATCTGTCTTTTTATGTAAAATAGAGTAGAAGCATCTTTTAGTATCTTCAAGTTTTATATCTTGCTGTGAGATCATTTTGTTGTGACTGTCCTTGACAGTTTTATTTACTGGTTTCTTTGTGAAGCTGAACACAAATGGGATGGAAAATGCCAATTTATTTATAAAATGAGTACTATAAAATATGAGATGTTCTACTATGCATAAGAAAAAAAAAGTGAGTGGTATTGTCAGGTGAGAGAAACTCTGTCATCTGGTATATAGGAGTTTAAAAGAATTCTGTATGAGAGCTTTATGTATTCTTTAAAGGAGAGATTTTTCAAAGGTTTAGTTTTAGTTGTACACTTGAATTTGAGATATTTTCATTGATTACCATGGATAAGGATATTTTGAATCACTACTGTGTTGTGCGTACTCTGGGAATAAAGTTAATGTATTACTGGTTACAGTGGTCGAATATGCTATTTTAATAAAATATTGAAACTTCTACTTTCCAGTTTGTCCTTTCACTGTATGTACTTCTCATTACACGTATATTGTATATTGATTAGAAAATAACAGATAATAATTGTTTCAAAGTTAAAAGCTGCTAAGAGATGGTTTGGAAGGACTGTAGGATGTCTGTTGAAATAGATTAGATAAAAACAGGTCATGATTTATTCCATTTTAAGCATTGGATAATGATGTAGAAGTGTAAGATTTTCTTTAAAACATAGATTACAACTTCAGTCTCCCAATTTGAGGAAATATTTGTATTTTAAGTATTGGATTGCCAGTAAATATTATATAACTTTGATAACACTGTCTGTCATTCTAAAGGAGGTGTCGATACTCGGTTGTTCTCACTTTGCACAGTGACACCCAGGGTTGGGTGCCTTGGAGGAAGGGCCGGCGGAGGCTCTTTTGGAAGATGCTTTGTCTTAGCACCCCTCAGAATTGAAAAGCCCCCTCAGTCAGAATGGGGAGATCTCCTGGAGCGGCTGCGCTTTGTCTCATTCAAGCTTTGCTTCCTGAGCTTTCCCGAGTGTCTTTGGGCCGCTTGACAAAGCGGGAGTTGCTGCCGAGCAGGCTCGGGCCGGGCGCCGCGGGGCTCGCGGGCGGCTCCGCTTCGGGGCTCCCTGGCGCTGCGGGAGCGACGCGGCGCTGCCCTCCTGCCTGCGCCCTGCGACCGCTGCACGAGGCCGAGATTTCCTTTTCCCAACGGAGCAATAGCCACCTGCCTGCACCCTGTGAAACTTCAGCCGCTTGTGTGGGCTCTGCTTTGCCCTTAAAGACTTTTTTGCCATCTGTGATAATTCTCAATAGTCTTTTTGCTTATGAAGGTGCCCGAAAGGTACAGCCTGGTCTGCGTGCTCCAAATGTGCCTCCTCCAACGTGTTGTGACTGACAGAGGCGCAGAGCCTGCCTGGTTAGTGGCTGGATACACCCAGAACAGCTGGATCTTTGTGGGAGCGGTACTTCGTTTTGTGCCTGTAACTATCAGTGTCCCCGTGCAGCTTTTTAACCCTAACCTTTGAACCGTCCCTGTTTGGGGGAAGGTGCTCTTGCTCCTTATCCAAACCACACGGTGCAGTGCTGAAGGATCCAAAGTCCTTCCTTTACAAAGAGTCCAGCAACTAGAGCAGTCACCAAGAAAAGGGGAGTTGGGGGCTTCAGCTGCTGCTTCCAGGACTGTTTTTCATTTAGGCCTCTGTCTTCAGTGCAGAATGCATGAGCTGTACTAGAGCAAGCGTGTTTCTAGAGACTGTTGCACAAAAACCGCATTTTCAAATAACTCTAGGGAGATCTTGAATGTTTGGATACTGAAGTTACAAATTTAAAAGCTTTTTAGATTACTTCACTGCCTGACCTTCGTCATAAAGGGAGAAAATTGGACAGAGGACAAGTGGCTGGTGCTGACATAACCCGTTTGTGAATATGTGGAATCCCCCAATGTGGCCTGTGACTTTCCCTGCACTGCTTTTAGCTTTTGGTTTCATGGTTTCTAGTTCAGTTCCCGTTCTCTTCCTAGCACCTTCCAGAATTAGCTGAGATTGCTGTTGTCCTGTGCCGTTGAAGCTGGTGAGTGGTCTTCAAGCTGGCTCAAAAAGCAGGAATTGTAGGCATTACAAACGGAGTCTTCTGGTGCTTAAAAAGGAAAGTTCTGGGTAATTCAAGTTTTGTCCTGAGCGAAGGCTGATGGGTTGTGCCTTGCAAGCCCTCACGCCGGTGCTCTCTGGTCTGACCTGGCATTACCTCCGTAGGAGGAAGAAGGCACCAAGTTTGCAGGGGACCACACATGAGAAACAGCCAGTCCAGAATAGCCACGTTTAAGGGATGAAAGTGGTGGAATACAGAGGTGGCAGGACTGAAAGCCTGGAAATACAGGATATTGTAGTAAGTGAAGCCAAACCACATCCTGATTTCCATGCCTCAGCACAGTGGATTATTTGTACATTTTCCCAGAAACCTTGGGAGTCGGGATTTGCTGCTGTCCCACAGCTGGGAAGGCAAGACTCGATGCGCCCGTTCAGTCACGCTGACCTGCACCCGAGGGCGCTTGAGCTGGTGGCAACTCCTCATCTTTCAGCAGGGCCTGTGCAGTGCAGCAAAGGTCTGTGGGGAAGCAGCCAACGTGGTGCTGGCAAGTGAAGTAGTGGGAGTAGTTCTCCTTACTAGTAGTAGTAGGAGAGGTGTGGGTTATTGAACCTCGCACAAGGGTCACTTCAGCAGCCTGGAAGTTAGGACAGTGTGAGGTCTGTAGTGGGATGTGCTGGTTTTTGTTTTGCTATGTTTTCCTTCACCCGATGTTTTCTGTTACATGCAGGGCTGCTCAAAAGCTTTAGAAACCATGTTGCTGGTTTGCAGACATGCACAATGGGGCTTGCAGAAATAATTTGGCTTGTTGGTTTTTGGCAAGCTGCATATTCTACTTAAAGCGATAAGATTTCTTTCCTCATTTGTTTCCCAAACCTGTGATGACTCCTACCTGTTTGTTGTTTTGTTTGTAGCTTATTGCATCTGCTTTGGCATTGTCGCGGCTGCAGTATCACAAGTCGGGTGGACTCCTCCCCAAGAAAACAGGTTAACGGAGCCAGCAGCACGCAGCATGGTGTAATGAAAAGGGTAGCTGGGGGATGGTGGGGCCTGTTTTTTCTTTCCTATCAAATCCAGAAGTGAAATTCTGAAAGTGAAGTTGGCTGCAGGTCCTCAAGGCAGGGAAAGCCGCTGCCTCAGCCTGCAGGACTCAGCCTGCAGGAATGGACACAGCTTACAAAGGCCTAGGAGGAGTGGTATTTATTGACAACACTGTTTGTTTGTTTTCTGCCTTATTCAGCAGGTCTAAATTCCCAGTTGTTGTAAATTCTGGGAAACGATGAAAACTATCAGCAGAGTTATAACATTGCCAAATTCTGTTTGCGTTTTTGAGAGGACGCAAAATGGAAGTACTCTTCCAGGAACCGAGGGTTTTCAACTGTGTGAGAGCATGTACTTGAATCAGGATAAATGGCTACTCCATATTTGGAATAAACCGCTTTCTACCCTAGGAAATGCACCAGTTTAAACCAATTTAACTGGCAGGGCAGCTTGTAAGTGTGAGCACTCCAAAGCTGAGAAGGAAGCAGTTTTCACAACACATTAGATGAGTGCATGTTTTCGTGTGCAGAAGAAGAGTGAGTAGCACGTTTGTTCCTTCTGGCTCTCCCTCCCTGGAAACCTTCCTGCAGGGAGATGGATAGTGCTGGGCTGCCTCTGCTGGACACCAGTCCATCACACAACAGGGGCTGTAAAAGAGATTAGGAAATATATTCGATTATGAAAGAAGTAGGAGAAGTGTCAAGACTGGTGTTACCGAAGTCCAAGCTTTGGAAACTTCTTGTAAACTTTAAATTACAGGCAGCTAAAGCCTCCCTGCTGCGGCTCTTCGCAGCTTGTGGTACATCGTTCATCTCTGTCATCGCGACACACTCCCCAAACCATGGGACTAACCAGCCTTCTTCACCAGCACCCTGCAGCCCTCTGCCTCTCCCAGGGGTACGGAGTCACTTGGTTGTTTTAATCCCCATTTCAAGCCAGACTGCGAGGACGCAGCGGGGGTCTCGCAGAAGCCAGCGTGTCCCTCAGCGCGGTGGGCGCTCCGTGTCGCGGGTCCCTGCTGTGGAGCCTTGCCCCGGAGCAGCCGCTCCTCCTGCAGGCTTCGGAGGCGGCCGCTTCAGGGAACATCCCGCGGGCGTCCGTCTCCTGCCCCCCAGGAACTGCGCGAGTGCCACGACAGGTCGTCTGTGAAGCCGAGGGCAGCAGTGCATGGAAACGGCCAGAGCAACAAGGCAGCTTTTCAGCTGGGAGGATCTCCCCCCCATCGAGTAATTGGATATTTTTGATACAAATCTGAATGAGCAAGCACATCTGAAATATATTGGCTTATATGATATATATGCCAAACTGGATGATATAATGGAATTGGGCAATTAATTGTAGGAAAGCAAATGAAAAAGCCCTTTAAAAAATGATTTCCAGTAGTGTGCTGCTTTGAAATGAAACTTGCCAACAAACTCTACCAAATAAATGGAAAAGTCGTCTTTTTTTTATCAAAAAAGCTTTATTTCTATAACACTTTATATATAGTGTACTACTCAATAACCATAAAAAAGTCACACTGCATCTCGCAGTTCCTTTATTCTTACTGTTTTATGTGAATAGCTAGTAGGAAAGCAACAGCACTGACTGAGGGAAGACTCAGCCAAGACCAACACAGCCATATAGATACTAACTATAAGATAAATGGCAGGATAAACGGCATTAGTAATCATCATAGTTGACACCTGCTCCATGCCTGAAGCTATGTGGGTTTCGTGGACCAATTGGTGAATCTTCATCATAGTGGTGCTGGTAGTAGCCACCATAGTATTCGTGGCCCCTCCGGCCCAAGCTTGTCCAATAGGAGATGTCATCTTCAAATTTCTGCAGAAAAAAAGAGAGTACTTGCTTTTCAAACCCGAAACTTTGCAAGAAAATGAAACAGAAAAGGTACAAGTAGTTCTTCCTGCCTGTTTAAGAAATCTGATCCTTTGTGAATTCTAGGGGGTTTCGTGACTTGCACCTACTGTCTCTATGGGCTGTGTCAGGGTTTTGAGGAGACCTAACTGTCCTGAGCCGGTCCCCTCGCCCACAGCTGCCCATGGGAAAGTGCTTAAACAGACAGGGCCTTCAGTGCAACATGCACTGGTGCCCTATGCACTTCTCCTACCTTTGCATTGCTGCACAGTTAAAACATTTCACTGCTTTGTACTAAAAAAGCAAAGCTGTGGTTCTCCAGCGCCCTACCCCCTTCAGTCCTCACGCAAAGTGGGTGCCAGAGGCCTCTGCTCCGAGCCCGGCGTCTCCCCTCTTCTTGAATGGGTGAAAATGAACGCACAGCGCAGCCCGCTAGCTCTAGAAATGTGGTGGGCAGTTCAGCTATGCATCTGTCCGCAACAGCGGCGGAAAAAGAGTGCACAAAGATATCAAAC